TATGATCTGGCTGAATTGAGTAAGGGAAGAGTGACGGAATTTTTGCAGCATATGGAATAGAGGAGAGGAGAGATTGGAGGTAATTCTGGAAGTATTGTATCTGGTCCCTGTTGGACAAAAAGCACTTACTGATCATTCTTTTAGGGCTCGTTCACACTTGACTGTTTTACCAACGCTTGCCAAACGCCCCTATAGCATTTGACAAGCGTTGGTCCGGCATTTGCGGAGCGTTTTTTAACGCTCGGCAAACGCTCTGCAAACGCCGCATGCGCAATTTAGTGGCGGTTGCTAGGCATTTGCCGAGCGTTAAAAACGCCCCACAAACGCCTATAATGAAGTTTAAATGGTGTTAGCGCTTTGCAAACGCCCAGCAACCGCGCTGCAAACGCCGGCCGGGCGTTTGCGGAGCGGCACCATAGGCTAGAATAGGAGGCTTCAACGCCTCCTGACTCGACCAGAGGCCTCAGTTTTGCTGCGACGCTAACGCTCTACCAGCACCATGTGCTGCAAAGTGCAGAATTGTCCGAGGAGTTTGGGAAGCGGTAAAAATGCTTCCCAAATGCCTCTCTGCCGCCTGCACACAACGCTAGTGTGAACGTAGCCTTATAGTGAGAGCAAATGCATGCAGGTGAGAGCACACCCAGTGAGGGAAACCAAAGTCTTACAGTAGAAAGGCACCGATTGGTGATTTTCACTTATGTGATTAAGAAGAAACCTATGATTTGAAGCACTGGAGATTTATTTGGGACTTTATCACACGGATGTTTTTTTGGAGGAAATTTTGTATATGTGCATGCATATATTTTGAGTGATGTATTTTGATTGATTTCTGGATTTTTATTTAATTTATTATCATTTCTTGCACATTGAAGAATAGTAGCAATGCGACACACTAGTGGTATTAATTTTATGCACATTAATATATGGGATTGTGTTAGGTGCTAGCAGGTTACAAATTATAAATAATTGTATAGCAGCCCACAAGTTTTTCACATACATTCGATGTAGAATTAATGCTGAGTGCAATGTCACTGCTGTACCAGTGTATCAGGTTGCTTGTTTCAAATGGTACTAAGTGAATTATTACCCTTGCCATGCATGTGGGTTATATACAGTGAAGGAAATAAGTATTTGATTCCCTGCTGATTTTGAATGTTTGCCCACTCACAAAGAAATGATCAGTCTAAAAATCCAATGGTAGGTGTATTGTAACACTGAGAGATAGAATAGCAACAAAAAATTCAAAAGAAATGCATGTCTAACAAATTATGCACTGATTTGCATGTTCATGAGAGAAATAAGTATTTGATCCCCTATCATTCAGCAGGATTTCTGGCTACTAGGTGTCTTTCATACAGGTAACAAGCTGAGATTAGAAGCAGTCTATTAAAGGGAGTGTTGCTAATCTCATTTTGTTACCTGTATAAAAGACACCTGTCCACAGGAGCAATCAAACAATCACCATCTGCCTGGAGTTTGCTTGCTCTCCCTGTGCCTGTGTGGGTATCCTCCGGTTATTCCGGTTTCCTCCCACACTTCAAAGACATGCTGGTAGGTTAATTGGCTCCTGTCTAAATTGTCCCTAGTATGTGTATGTATGAATGTAAGTTAGGGACCTTAGATTGTAGGCCCCTTGAGGGTTAGGGACTGATGCAAATGTACAATATATATGTAAAGCACTGTGTAAATTGACAGTGCTATAGAAGTACATTCAATAAATAAATAAAAATAAATAATGGTTTCACATTCCTTTGTTGAATGTGAACTTTGCATGTCTGCCCAAACCAGTTTGGTGAAAATCCAGCACCCACCAAATTCTCCTATGTCTCTTGTACACACAGTAGAGGTTTCTGCATTAAAGTTCTAAGGGTTGCCTGCCTGTCACTTCATTGCTAGCTATGTTACAGCATGGAAAATCCTTTTGGGGAAGTCAGACTCCACAGTGGACATGGAGGGATCATTCCACTAAGTTTCCAAGAAAAGTATGTGCGGATTTGAAATGTCAGTTTTGCACAGAGTTATCCTGTAACTCTTGCACTAAGGAGAGAAGTTGACTACGTGCTGTAAAAAGCACTTTATAAAGACTTAAATTACATCTGCGGTCTAAGATTGTCATTTTATAATCAATTCAGCAAGCTGTTTGGAATGCAAAATATTAGAGTGTCTAGAAATATATAGTCTGTTATTTTACCTTTTATTGTGGGAAAGTGGTACATTACTTGTAAAATGAACAAATTGTAGATATATCATAAGTAAAATTAAGTACTATCTGTGATATGTAACCAACTAGAAGAATTGTTATTTCCAGGTGAATAAACAAATCTATTTTCTTTTTAAACTAGCCCAGGAATGAGGCCTGATGTAAGTCCTTCTCCGTCCAGTTCTTCTACCAGCACCGGACCACCTCCCAAGCTCTGTTTGGTTTGTTCTGATGAAGCCTCCGGGTGTCACTATGGAGTATTGACCTGCGGCAGCTGTAAAGTATTTTTCAAAAGAGCAGTAGAAGGTATGCCAACTATCTTTACTAGCATCCATGCTTCTAATTTAGGTTATCATTTTATCAAAACGCTTTACAACTTTGTACTGATGTTTGCCAAGTATGCATTTTTGTCTTATCTCTATTTTACAGCAATTTTAGAGCCCAACTATAAGCTAAACATTTTTTCTACTTTTGGATAGGGAAGTGACATGGTAACGCCCTCTTGCCCCACTGGGGATTTTTTACATACCTCACTGAAACTAGAAGCAAGGGGATACCCTTTCTAACAAGGACACTCAATTTAGGTTGTTACCCTTTTCCCACACTATCCAGATTCCCACAGTACACACAACATGGAAATACAATTATTTGTAGTAAATATAAACTGCTAAATACCTTTTCTCATCAACAATTAGAGCAGTCTTGTGACTTCTATCAGTGTCCAGCAGAGCATATGTTGAAGCTTGTAGGAGGAGTTTTCATTTTGCTCTGGGAGGATGCAGAACCCCTGGCCTCTGTCTGTACAGTGCCAATTGGCACCAAACTGAGCATGTGCAGAGTGACTCCACATGATATGTCTTTTTAGGAGATAACAGGGGGGCACTGGAAGAAGGGGAGGATCAGAGAAGTCAGGATCAAACAGCCTTTTTGCATAATGCAGAGGATTAACCCCTTAGGTTCCATAGTGAGTATAAGAAGCATGCTTTACTGCATATATAGACTGATTTTACTGGTGTGGGTTTAGTAACACTTTAATATTACCAGATCAGACAGATATTCTACAACAACTTTGTAAGTCCTATGCCTTAAAATGGTTCCAATCATTAGATGGATTATAGAAGCTCGTTATGATCTTATAACCTCAATCAACAAAGCAACAACACTTCTCCGAGTAAGTGTACCTAAACCCGAAAACAAAAATGTATTACCTTGAAGCTAACCAGCCCCATAGATGTGACCACTGCATTCGTTTTTTTCTCTCACATGATGATCCTGCCAATTAGATATTTCCTGTGCTGTGTTGTGACTCCTGCTCATTCACTGTACTTACGAAGGAGCAATGTTATCTTACAAAAGGACTATGGCATACTCCCTCCTTTTCTCCTCTCCTTTGCATAGAGAGCTCTTTTAGAGTCCACCAACAAAGCTTGTAGCAGTGTAACTGAAAAGCGTGTAGCACAGCAGAGGGCTAGGAAGTCCTGTACTGAGAAGATCGCTAGCGGGAAATGGGTATTTTGTTGTGCACTAATGTAAACGATTTAGGCAATTTTAATTATAGACGTATTTAACAAACCCAAAGTCAACAAATGAGAGAAGTTTATTGTTGGGGTTTACATATAATTTACATGTTATGGTGCAATAATAAAATTTTCCTGAAAACTGCAATAAATTGTAGGCAGTTATGATGTTAAATTGTGTATCTCGTTGAGTTATGTCAGTGAAGCAACATGATTGAGCCTTGGTGTACTTCATTTCTCGATGAAAGTCTGATCTGCTAATAGCTGGAGCAGAAAACACATCCCATGCTGCTGTTACCTGTACGGAATGCATTGTGTGTAGTTCAGAAGCTCACTGCTAGCACTGATATAGAGCTCTTTGTAGGCTAACACTATTTTTGAAGTGGAGACAATAGAGCCAATAGTCCTACTGAGAGTGCCAAAAAAAAAATGACTCTGGGTACGTGGAAACTGTGTTCACTATTCTGTTGTCTTTAATCCCTTTGTTGCTGGAAATTCACCATTATATATAGTCATCCTTATTTTTGTCCATTGATAGGTCACAGACAGTTTTGGCTTTGAAGGTTAGTGTGCCATGTAGGTGGGAAAGCAGATGCCAAATTGTAACTTCTAACCAGGAATTGAGGGCAGATTTTACCAACAAAAAGACAGAAACTGAAAATTTTCACCACTCTTTAAAAAAAACAAAATAACATACTTTAAAGTTCCTAAAGTATTAAGTGCGTTTTCACTTTTTAAATGTATGCATCTCCGCAGCCTCTGAAAATCATGCCAATGTAATCCGTTATCTTTACTCAAGTTAAGTCCTGTTTCCCCCCACATGGTCTGCAGTCCCCCAGAGCTGTGTTTACATCTTGTGCAATCCACAAGTTGCTCATTCATTGCAGTGCAGAGGTCTCTCCTGGGGTGTCTAGGGGCAGCGTATTCACAAGTAAAGAAATGTGTAAATGCACTCCTAGAAGACTGCAGCGCACGAGTAAAGTAGGACATAACCCATCAGTACAAATAAGCTATCTTTTTGGAATTTTTTTTCCAAGTCTTCAAGGATGAGTACAACTGCATCACTCATAGCAAAAGAGCACTTTACCTTTAACCACCTTCCGCCCGCCATATAGTACAATGACGGGCACAAGGTGGTTCTCTTGTTCTGATAGGACGTCCTATGACGTCCGTCCATTCTCACTGCACATGCGTGGCTCAGGGAGCGCGCAGTGCGACGATTGCCGGTGTGCTGTTTCCCTCGGACACAGCGGATCATGGAAAGAGCCGAAAATGTCGGCTCGGCCATGTGATCAGCTGTGTCCAATCACAGCTGATCACATGTAAACACGGAAATGCCGGTTATCAGCATTTCTCTCCTCTCGAGCTGTCATGCTGACAGCTCGAGAGGAGAGGAGAGCCAGTAATCAGCTTTCCGCGGAGGGGACATGTACACTGATCATCAGGGCACTGATGATCAGTGTGGCCCCAGAAGTGCCACCTGTCAGTGTCCATCAGTGCCAGCAGTCAGTGCTCATCAGTGCCACATCAATGCCACATATCAGTGCATACCAGTGCACATCAATGCCACATATCAGTGCCCATCTGAGCTGCCTTTCAATGTCACCCATCAGTGCCACCTCTCAATGCCAATCAGTGTCAGTCAGTGTCGCCTATCAGTGCGCATCAGTGCCGCCTATCAGTGCCAGTCAGTTCCACCTATCAGTGCCAGTCAGTGCTGCCTATCAGTGCCATATATCAGTGTCATGTATCAGTGCTTCCTTTCAGTGCCCATCAGTGATGCCTGTCAATGCCCATCAGTGCAACCTACCAGTGCCTCCTCATCAGTGCAGCCTATCAGTGTCCATCAGTGCAGCCTCATTAGCGCACATCAGTGAAGGAGAAAAATCACTTATTTACAAAATTGTATAACAAAAACTAAAACTTTTTTTTTTTCAAAATTTTCAGTGGTTTTTGGTTTGTTTAAGAAAAAATAAAAATTCCAGAGGTGATTAAATACCACCAAAAGAAAGCTCTATCTGTCTCAAAAAAATGATAACAATTTCATATGGGTACAATGTTTCATGACCGCACAATTGTCATTCAAGGTGTGACAGCGCTGAGAGCTGGAAATTGGCCTGGGCAGGAAAGGGGGTATAAGTGCCCTGTAGGCTAGTGGTTAAAGGACAACTTTATCATTAGTGAAATTGTGCATTAATAAAGGTTCTGAAAATTAAGCCTTTTAATTGTATACCTTTTCATAAAGTCATAGTGTATTGTGGCCAATTCTGACATTTCTCTCCTACATGTAAAAATTGACACTTCCAGGCCAATTCTGACATTTCTCTCCTATGTGTAAAAATAAGTATTTTGCTTGAAAATTACTGAGAACCACAAATATTATATCTATTTTTTAAGCATAGCCCATAGAGAAGAAAATGTTGGGTGTTGCTTTTGTTATGTCACACGGTATTTGCGCAGATGTTTTTCAAACACAACTTTTTTTGGAGAAAACACTTTACTGAAAGTGTACATTTTACTTTACACTTGCTGAAAATGTTGGTGAGCGCAGATAAATGTTTGTTCTTGGGTTTACTTATTCTTCTTAAGACATCTGGATTCATTTAGGTGACAAAAGTTATAAATTCCCATCCCAAAATACTTTGATTTTAGGTGAGTAAAACCATCAAGGTATTTGCCCTCAACCCTTTTGTTTTTATTAAACAGGCCAAGCCTTTGAAACGGGAGCATTTAGATTTTGTGTTTGATTTTTTTCGGAATCAAAGGAAAAGGCATATGTGAGTGATTGACTGCAAGCAGAATGTGAAGTGTGGAAATCAATATACATGGAACTATATCACCCTTACACAATTATAGATATGTGCTAAAGCTGCAAGGCGGAGCTAGTATGGTGTTTGAATAAAACATCTGACAAATCTGATGAGGTGATTCATTTGGTGAGATGTAGACACATTCATTTAATTCATCAAGAGTTTCTCAGGTTTTGAGATGGCATATTTCTGAGAAACATACAAGAGACATCTGTCGGGGTAAATTAAGGTAAACTGAAAAGTAAAATATTCTGTAAGTTGTCCCTGCCATAATGGAAAATTTCAGATTAAAACATGACAGCAGACGTACATTGTATAGATATATATGACAAGCCCTAACATAGTTTACTGAATCAGTGACCCATTTTGTGGAATAATAATATGACTGTATAAAATCATAGTAAAAACTGTTGCCTGAGCACTAGATATTTATGACGTTAGCAAGTACTGGCAACATAATAAACACATGCCAATTACATGGAGAGAGTATGCGTTTACAACAGCAGACAACATTTTAACATGGATGGGATCAGAATGTACTGTGAACACCAAAGAGATTCCATGCTAGACAATGAAGTATTATTATACAGGATTTATATATAGCGCCAACAGTTTGTTCAGCGCTTCATATAATCAGCTGCCTTGGAGTCATTGCATGTACTAAAATTTCACTTTTAATAGCTTTTAAGCATTCAGCAAAAAGGGGCCAGGATTAGAATGCCTGGGTGGCTTCATGCCTAACTGAGCAGTCAACAGGGAATATACCGTATTTGCCGGCGTATAAGACGACTTTTTGACCCTTGAAAATCTTCTCAAAAGTCGGGGGTCGTCTTATACGCCGGTACAGCTTTTAAGCATTCAGCAAAAAGGGGCAGGGTCAGCAAGTCTCAGTGGGAGGAATTGCCCCATCATTGGTGTCACTGATACCAATGATGAACTGATACCAACGATGGGGCCTGGGTGGGGCACTATTCCACCCCTCACTGACACCAATGATGGGACCTAACTGGGGCACTATTCCTCCCATGACTGATACCAATGGGGGCACTAAATTATACCAATGATGGGGCTGGGACACCATTCCTCCCACTGACTGATGGGGCACAATGATGGGGCACCATTCCTCCCACTGATACCAATGATGGGGCACTATTCCTCCCACTGACACCAATGATGGGGCACTATTATACCAATGAGCACTATTCCTCCCACTGACATCAATGATGGGGCACTATTCCTCCCACTGGTGTGCATTGAAGAGGGGTAGTCTTATACGGCGAGTATAGCCCAAACACTACATTTTAGCAGGAAAAGTAGGGGGGTCGTCTTATACGCCCAGTCGTCTTATACGCAAATACGGTACATACCATAGCCACAATGCATAAATTTAAATGAAAAGAAAAAAAATCACTGAGATTAAGGTAAGTGTTGTGGAGGAGGCAAGTGTGTGACCACGTTTGTAAGAGCCTTAGAGAGGAGGCTTTGCAGGAGCAGTTGCACTGATGGAGAGAGCCTACAAGAGCAACCCTACCACCAAGAATTACTGAGCAATTAACTCTTACAGTGTGTGTGTATGGAAGGGGTACTCACTGCAAGGGTAATCTTTTTCTGTGATTGGATTTTGGCTTTAAGCAATAGAAATGATGTAATAGATCACTAACATAAGAATGCAGATAAGGAGTTATGACTCTTGTTTGACTCTCCTGGTCTGCATACCTGTTCAAGATCAGTGGCTCAGAATGTATTACAGCTAGTGGTTCAGTATAGTAGCCAAGCAACTAACATTACGAGTTGAAGATCTATCATATTGGCCACCCAAAGGCCAAATAAAGGAGCTCATACGGCAAGCTGACAATGCTGGTGCTAATTGAGAGGCAACTGCTTAGCATTGTCAGCCTGCAACAGTAACAATGACCATAGATCAGCCTTTTTCAACCAGGGTGCCTTCAGGTTTCTTGGCAAAATGCCAAAAAAGTGTTCAAAAATTGTATACAAGCCAGTAGGTGGATGAAGCCTACCCTTTAGTTACACAAAGCCACAGGTATTGATTGTGCACCATTACAACCTTCTAGCTGTCAGCATCCTAACAACCAATGATGTCGTTGGTTAATAAGGAGGACATCAGGCGCCTGCACAGCATCCTTGATTGCCTCTAACCCACCCGCCTCTCTCCATCAGCACTGGGGTCAGTGAGGGAGTGATTAGCTGAGTGAGGGAGTCAATGTTTTTTGAACAGGGACAGCCATACACTGATCATTCAATCAACTTCTGTTGAATGAACATGTTGGAAAACCTTTGTCCATCTTCGGCTGCAGCTTCTGATAAGTGTATCCTGATAGTGCTTGTTCCTGCTGTCAGAATATAACGTCCCCATCATCAATGACTAGCTTAATTTCTTGGACCTCCAGGTTAGCAACTTTGCAACATATTCATGAAAAACAATTTGGTTTAAATAATTGAATTATGCAGTAAGGCATTATGCTGGACATACTGAGCAATAGAACTATGTTCTGCTCCACTTGTAATAATATTCTTTTTTCTATTCTACTGCATAAGGTTATTATTGTTCTGTAGTATGCTGGTATCTAGTGATGGTTTGGGGGTCACTGTAGCTTGTTTAAGTATGTGAATTGTTATCTCCCTCTATCCTCCCCTTCTGTTTAGTGCTAGTTTAGTCCTAGATAGGCCCTCCCTGTATCTTCCATGTGCCCTCCATCATTGATTCGTTCACAGAGACAGGGCTTAGGAAAGTCATTGTTTTATTACACTTCAAAAGACTGGAAAAACATCCTCTGTATTGCAACTAGCTGACGTAAAATTGTGTTTGATTCAATTCCAATGTATTTTTGAAGAGTTAGGGTCCATTCACACCAGGTGTGGTGAAACTGCATGGGGGGCTATTACAGCACAGTCCCACCACAAAACGATGCAAAATGCTTTGTGTCCAGAGTGGCCAGCTCACACCAAAGTGTGTGCAGGCAGTGTGCACTGAAAAAAGTACTGCATATTCCAAAGTGCTTGTAAAGGCTGAAGGATTTTTATCTTAATGCATTCTCTGCTCCCCCCTTCCCAGCCCCCGCAAATGCTTACCTGAGCCTGATCCCTATCCAGCACTGCTCTCTCTCCCTCCTGACTGGACTCTGAGAGCAGCGGAAGCCATTGGCTGCTACTGCTGTCAATCAAATCCAGTGATAAAGGAGCAGGGGGCAGGGCCGAGCCATGCTCTGTGTGCCAGTGGACACACAGAGCGTGGCTCAGGATTGAACCTGCACAAGTGCCACCAAAGGAAGAGGGTTCATGCGCTGACACATGGAGAAGAGGAGGATCACAAGGTGCCAGCGTGCGACCTCCGAAGGGAAGGATTGGGGCTGCTCTGTGCAATACCATTGCACAAAGGAGGTTTATTATGTAAAAAAACCCAAACTTTAAAATACATTTACATTTACACCTGCCATAGAAAAAGTGGTGCCCTGCACCGCAAACTTTTTCCTAAGTCAGATCACTATAAAATCAGAAATGGTTTTCTGCATCCATGCTCATGGTCAGTAACTCAAAGTAGTGAAGCCACTGAATCAATGTAACTGACAGGCAAATAGAATTTTCAAACGTGAAAGTCAGCATAGCATCATTCATGTTTCTGGTGTGTGAAAAATTAGGAAAATTCAACTTCTGTAATGTGCACTATGCATCTTGAACAATGTTTGTTTTAATGTGACAGGCAAGTTTAAAATCGTGATTTTATTTTTTTGGATAACAGACTAAGTGCTCCATTGTATTTATTTTTAGGCAATGTCTTCTTCTTTTTTAATTAGCCACCCACTAGCAGTACACTACCATCAGCAGGCTCAGATTAAGTAGGTTACTATTTTTTCACTGCTGTACATTTTGAAATTTAGAATGTGATTTGCATGGGACTCAGTATATTTGGAGTGTGTGTGTGTGTATGGTACTGGGCTCCAGGGTTTGTGTCTGCTAGGGGGGAAACAAACTTTGTTGTTTTCCCAGATCTTAACCTCTTCCCATCCACGGTACATATTCAGTACACAAGTCCTGGATGAGAAGTGGTTGTACCAGCTGCAGCCATGATATCAAATTTCAGCTGGCGATCAGCTTTACTGTAAAAGTAATCCAAGTGGCTCTACAGCCGTCCTCAGAAGGGCCCCGCCCCCGCTGTCACCCACAATTTTTCCTGGTCTCACTTTTCTTACCGGGTAGCCAAGGATGGCAACTAGTGGTCAGGTCAGCTGAGCACAGAGAAGAATGAGGCACATTTGTTCCTCCCCATCCTCTGTGACGAATGAAGTCGGAAGCAATGAGGATTTCGTCACTTCTAGTTTTGGTTCTTTGTTTACCTGTCTGTTCATGGCCAGAGAGGCAGTTGATCAAACCAATCTATGTTGGAATGGCTGCCTTGCCTGCATTCCCTCTTGCTCACGCTCAAATACAGACGTGCCCGTAGTTGCCGCACACATATATGTAAAGGAATCATTTTAGCACCAAAGTCATGTTTAATTCTAAACTAGTAACCTGTAAAGGTTTTTAAAGTGTCACCTATGGATATTTTTTGGTACCATAATTTTGTCATGCACGTGAAAAATTTTAAATCTTGACACATTTAGTACCAAACTCAGCGAACAAGCTATACAAAAAGATGGCAACCACCCCAACCACAAAGACTAATTATAAATTGGGATTGCAGTTAGGACTGCAGTACACAGAGGAGCCTTGACGTGGGCACTGCGTCTTCCACATATTTTTGCAAACGTGTGCAACTAAACCTTCTGTTTTTACCGTTAATTTTTAAGGTCAATTTTTTTTTTTGCAGGCTAGCTGGTAAGTATGCTGGAAAATATTTGTCTGTTTATGTTGTGTATTTCCCTTCCATTTGCACCTTACTGCAAAGGCTAGTTATAAATTGGGGTGGTTGCCATCTTGCCAGTATTCATATAGCTTGTTGTCTAAAATGCATTTAAGCTTATTTTTTTTTCCTGAAAATGTGCATAAATACGTGGACAAATATTGCACAATGTAAAAAATTGCAACAACCACCATTTTATTCATCAGCATCTGCTTTCAGAAATTATATATTGTTTGGGGATTACAAGTAATGTTGTGGCAAAAAAAGATGATTTTAACCTGTTTGTGAAAAATATCAAGCTTTGTTGGTCCTAGAGCCTGAAGGCTTTATAGAGTACTGGGTGGGAGAAAGCATACATCCCTAGGTCCAGATCCGGTAGCAAGACGTCAATATTAGCCTTATGCAGGCCATAGACGGGTCGAAAATCGTCCGGAAAAAAAATTGGCCGATTTTCGCACCGTTATTGGGTTAATTGGTCGGCCGTTTGTCGGGATTTTGGCACATTTTTTTTATCCGTGAAGTTGGAAAAAAATCGTCCGATTTTGCCGATCGGCGATTTTCCCGGCAATGATGGGCAAATCGGCCGATCTTTTATTTTCAATATTTTTATTGAAGTTTTTTAGTATAACAACAGGGTATAAAAATATTGCGAAGCAAAAAATATATAGTTCACAGTCAAATAGGACAAAGCATTAGTGTGATGTGCGTTCCTCACCATTTGGCTGAGGATAATAAATGTCTAAGTTGCATTGACCTGAGAGGTATACTCATTTAGGTGTGAACCGTATGGAGGTGGTGGTGTTGTTACGTAGAGAGGGAGGGGGACGTGTGGAAGGATAGGGACGGGGGGAAAGTGAGTAGGGGGATAAGGGGAAAATATGCACCAGTCTTGGGTGAAGGGTCTAGGGATTGCAGAGGAATTATGTCAGTCTTTTACTGTGCAGTTTGGGTTCTGTAGCCATCGAGACCATTGGAGTTTGAACTTGTGGTAGGATGTGATAGTGGGAGCCGTTCTCCTTTCCATGTTGCATTGTATGTTGAGATCTGATATAAGTGTGGAGAGGGAGGGAGATTTAGTAGAGTTCCATAGCTTAGTAAGATTAGTCTTAGCAGCTGATAGGACATGGATAATGATTGTACGAGAGTCTCTGGGGAATTTGTCGATCCCTATGTGGAAGGAGTGCCAGAGCCAGGTTTGGTGGGATTGGTGTATCAGCTATTGTTGTGAGAAGTTGGAAAACACTGTTCCAGTAGGATCGGAGGGATTTACATGCCCAAAGTATGCGAAGAAGTGATCCTGTTTCTCCGCATTGTCTCCAACATGCGGATGGGCGTTGAGGGTAATACAGTGAAAGTTTGGTTGGTGTTCGGTACCATTGGTGTAGGATTTTCATGTAAGACTCCTAAAGGAGCTGCAACGGGATGCTGTATGGGTAATGTTGAAGGTCTTCTCCCATATGTGTGGTAGGATTGGTTGAGAAAGGAGTTTCTCCCAGTTGGAGAGAGAGGAAGTTTGAAGGGTGAATCGAGAGTTGGTTATATATGCGTAGAATGTTGAGATCCCTTTTTTTGGGTACTGCGGTTTGTTTAAGAATCGGACCATCTTTTTACTGATAAAAAATCTGCGCATGAGCCTTGACCTGCAAGAAGAAGAAGAAAAAGAAGAAGAAAAAGAATTCCAGTCCGCTATTATATTTGACATGAAAAAGTATTGCGGTTGCAACAATGTATCTATTTGTATCCGAAATGGATACAAATAAATACATTGTTGCAACCGCAATACTTTTTAATGTCAAATATAATAGTGGAGCTCTCTGCAGGGACAGAAGTAATTAAATGTTGGCCGTAGACAGGATGAAAATTGGCCATTTTTTTTTTACCATTGGTGGTAACGTCGGCCTATTAACGACCGATTTTTCCTTTTTTTTTTAAAACGGACGATTTTCGACCCGTCTATGGCCTGCATTAGTTATCCACTGTCCTTTAAATGTGTGATCTGACTGAAGCTCGGCTCTCTCTCTCTCTGCTGTATGTTGGTGTGCGTTT